ATTAATTAATCCATTGAAACGGTCTGTTTAGTATATGCGATCTCTTCATATATACTTGTGATCATGCATTTTTCAATTAATTTCAAAGAATGTGCAAAATATTGAGAACCAAAGGTTGCTGAATTTACAATCGAAAATATATTTTAATATCTTCCAAATATGTTATTTCTTATCGAAGACATCGTTACCCACTCCGGCAAGTGTTTGATAGTTCGGATCAAATGTTCCTACAATGAAAAATTACATTAATTCAATGAACTGTATTTATCAGTTATTAGGCAAAAATTACAAACAGTTGAACTGTTTTTTTTTATATGTAAAAATAGGGAAACAAGTTAATGATTAAAATAAGCAAATGAAACAAGTAAATGATAAAAAATGATAAAATCTTTTAAATATGGAAAACATAAATGAAAGGTTAAATTCTCGGAGATTTCACAAAAATAATTAAATTGTTGCACATATTTTGTAAGCATCCTGAAAATGTCCTCATAAAAACTTACCAGCTATACCACCTTGCTGCGGAGCTTGAGGTGCTCTTGCACCTCCTACACCTGCACCACCCGGTGGAAAACCACCACCACCACCTTTATCTCCGAAGACATCATTGCCAAGACCAGCCATTGTTTGATAATTTGGATCATAGGTTCCTGGAGCAATTTACGAATTTTAATTAAATGCTCAAGTTTATTAAAGGAGTTATATTTTATTCATAAAAGCACTTCTATAGCAAATAGTTTTAGAGATTTCAAGTGTTCTAATTGAAAAAAAAAAGGCACGTCGGTTTTTAGTAACTTAGTGAAGTGATTTATTTATAATTAATTCGTGTAGAAATTTTAAAAGTTCAAAAAAAAAAGGGTGCAACTCACCGGCAATGCCACCTTTAGCTGGAGCTTTTGGTGTAGCAGCAGGTGATGCACCACCTGCTCCTCCTTTGTCACCACCAAAAACATCATTTCCTAATCCGGCCATAGTCTGTAGTATTTTTTAAATTTATTTAGCAAACAATATTTATTAATTTTTGATTAACTAAGACTTCGTTTATGTTTCAGTCTAATTTTGATAAATATTTTATTGGCCTAGAAATATTTTAGAACATTATTTATAAAATTTTTTGATGTATTGCTACAATTAAATCAATTAATACAATATGCTATCAATGAACATTCAGAAAAGATTATCGAGAATTTGAAATTTCAAATGTGATACCTGATAGTTTGGATCAAAGGTTCCAGCTACTCCACCCTGCACAGGTGTATTAGGAGCGTCTTTTGTTTCAGCATCTAAAACAAACAGAAAAGTATCAGTTTGAGAGAATTAAAAATAACTGTGAAATTTTATAATCAATTTTTATTAATTAATATAATAATGGGAAGATTGTAAATTTTATCGTAAATGTAACAAACAAGAATGATAATATTATTTTCAAGATAGCTCTCAAGCAAAAGAAAAAATCTAATTATTTAATTATAACTTTATTTTATTTTATAGTTCTATTTCAGTTCATAGTTCAGTTTTCCTTTATTATGACTGGTTTAGCTATTGTTTTTAGTGTGTAATAGGAAGATTTGGTTTCATGGGTTGATCGATTTTTAAATGTCGGATTAATGTATTATAATAATTGGAAGTTTTATTACTTCCTTAGTAACCTAATTATTTAATTAGAATTGGGAAGAAAAGATAAGAATTTAATTTAGAACATAGTAAATATTTGATAATCTCTAAATTCCTAGCACTTTTGTAATTATGTGGAAAAAATAGCAAATGAAAAGTTTGCTCCGATCTCAAAATAATCCCATATTTTTAATTTTTTTTTTTCTGGAAAATTAAAAATATCGGAGAAAAAAAAAGTAAAGTGAGAGCGCTCACCTTTTTTGTTTTTATTTTTGACCTTCTCATCTCTTTTTTTTTTCTAAAATTTATTTTGTCGGTTTGTTTGTTTTTTTTTTTTTGGATATCAAAACTTGATTTTCAAAATTCCTCAATGCTAAAAAAAGACCTAATAGCATGGGTAAAAAAAGTTGATCACATTTCCTTCAATTAATTTTATGATTAATTTAAATGATGCAAACATTCAGGAAGTTATTTGAATTTCATGTAAAATTTTGAAACTTTATATTAACACTCATCCCAAAGGTGAAAAAAAAAACAGTGAGAAAATTTATGAACTTTTTTACAGCAGCAACAAGCGGATGGAGAATTAATATTGACAAACATCACAATCATCAACATCACTCCAAATAAGAATGAAAAAATAATTTCAACCATCGTTACCTTCTTTTACCTTAAAATAGTCAAGCGGAAAAAAAAAAAGAAATCAAAAAGTTTTCAATGCTCTGTTAAGTTGAAATTTTCAAATTTTAAACTTGAACTATTTCTAGAGATTCAAACTTTAACACTAAATTTGAATTATTAATTCTGAAAATGTCATAAAAATTGCTTCATATCATTTTATCATACAACGATTACCCACAAATTTCAGAACACATATGCAAATATCATTGAAATTTTTTCATCAAATATATTTAATATATTTTAATTTACAGCTATCCAAAGATAACCTTTAATAATTTCTAGCTTATTTCAACTCTCCGCCAATCACAATTAAATAAATAATTGATGAGAATGATTTTGTGTGGCAACTGCCTGATAGAATCCAGAATTAACAAATACACATCAATTGCTAATTAATGAGCAATATAACTGCAAATTCGTTCCAGGAAAATTTAAATACTTTGCTAGTCAAATTCAAATATTTTAGCTTAATGAAATAGCATGAATTACTATTAAGTTTTAGTGTGAATGTTATCGTTGCTTTTTTCGCTTTAAAGCAAACAACAACAATTGAAAAATTTTGCTGCCAATCATTGTTATTTTCATAATTTTATTTACGCTTTTTTTTGGCACGATTCTGTTCTCTTAAGAAATTGTATTATTTTGTTTTAATTTATAAATTTCTTCAACAATATGCTATCATTACCACTCTTTAAAAATTTGATTTAAAAAATTCGATAAAATTTGGGAAAAATTTCTTAAAGGTGTTTTTTGCTATATAACATCATCGGAAAACACCAAACACTTTTTGTGATTGCATTTCTGCGGATTACAAAATGAACAAAGGTTAAAAAATTATAATTTGATTTTTTTTTCAACTTCAAAATTTTCTCAATTAATTTCAGCTCAGTTGAATTCAGTTTCATTTATAAAGTATAAAAAGTGAAACGAAATTTGCTATGTGTATGCGATAAATTATTAAAAATAGAAAAACTTTCATTTTAATCCATCTATCTTGTTTTCTTTCCACTTTTAAATTGTTGTATTTTTTGGATTTAAGGTTAAATTTTTAAAATAAAAAAAAAACTACTTTCTATTCTGAGTGTTCGAGAGCAGTAATTAAGTTCAATTTAAATCATCAATAGTGCCATATCTTTGAATAGAAATTTCCATTTCAAAATATCTAACTGAAAATGTTCCGCTACAATTTTCAAAATTTTTTCAAATAATAAAAATAATGCAAAACTTGTTCAGGATGAATTGATGATATCGTGTATGAATTAATGTGAATACAGTTGATATGATAGAAAAATGTAAATTTTACTTTTAAAATATTTATATTCGATAATACAATAAATGAATTAGAACTAATGTATGGAAGACAAGACTTCATGAAATTGTCTATTTAAAAAAAAAAAAAAAACAATTATCGAATTGAACAATGATATTTCTGCACTGATGCAATCATCTCTTCACTGTCTGTTCAAAATTTGTCCATTTTTTGTTATTCAGTTGAAAATTCATTGATCCCATAAAATTTCGACTTCGCTGATCGTTTAGGAATTCCGGCAACAATACCGGACTCAATTCCGCATTCATTAATACCACGTAGAATGCGGAAATAACCTGAAAATACTTCTAATAGATAAGCAAACTCTGTAAAACATTCCATATTCCTAAAACATCATTCAAACGAACAAACAAATGTAAATTTAAAATTGAATTAATCAAAAATATATCCAACAAAATTTTTAAAACTAGCTAATAAATGATTGTGACATATTTAATCTGTTAATTTTTGATTTTTTAATTAAATTAAATCATGAATTCAAAAAATTGGGTTTTTTTAAAAAATTTTTTCCAATACTATAATTTACAAATTTGGTTTAATCTATTAATTTGATTTAAATTAAATTGAATTAAATCACGAAATTTAAGTAATTTCATTTTCTAATTTTCCAGTACTATAAGTTAGGAAAATTGGAAATTAATTGTGCAAATTTAGATACATTTTCGCTATTCCAATCGTTCGTTTTTTTTTGTTTTTCGAAAAAAAAAGGAAAGAATGAAATTAGGAATTGACTGACCATTTTCTCCCCAATCGGTGTTCCATGAATTAGCTGCTAACCAATATGGTACTCCTTGATCGATACCCCAACCAAGCAATTTTACAGCATGTCCACCACCCATAGATCCCGCTACATGCTAAATATTATTTATTGATTTTTTTTTTGAAATTTTATCATTGAATAATAATTAATTTGATTACAAAACAATTTGATATGCTATAAATTATTGAAACTATATAAGCGAGCAAAAATATGCTGTATCTTGAATATGAAATATTCATAAGGAATTTTGAAAATATTTTAAAATTGTTCAGTAATAAAATAAGAAAAATGACAGTTTCATAAATTTAAGATAATTTAAACTTAGCTAAATTAGAAATTACAATACGTACTTCTGTATTCCCTGTAGATAACAATTACTGTTAATCAATTGGAATATTGACTCTTAAGTAAGAGTTTTTTTTTTTGTTGGCTTGGAAAATTAAAAAAGCTTTATTTTTAGTAAAAAAAAAAGAGGTATCAGGGAAGTTTAAATTTTTTTAATCCAATATATTTTTTTTTAAAACTTTTAACTATCTTAAGCTATTGATTTCAATATGAGAATAAGTTTAAAAAGTGAAAAAAAAGAAGTGTCAGAGAAGCTTAAATTTTCTTAAATCTAATTTATTTTTTTTAAAAACTTTTAACTATCTTAAGCCATTGATTTAAATATGGGAATAAGTTTAGAAAGTGAAAAAAAAAAAAATCAAAAAAGATTATTTTTCAAAACTCTAATTTATTTATATCGTATAAGTTACCCTATTTAAAAACAAATATATTAAAGGTTTTTTAATGTAATTGTCTTTTACAAAATTTTATAACTTCGTGAAGACCTTGTAAATTCCGCCAGTATACTGTAGAAAATCACTGTATACTTCAAATGAGGCTTCAACCGGGCCCAACGTCATAATTTCCTTCTGAATTGATTCCACGTCGTTTTCAACATGATAAGCCTGTTTTCCTATAAATTTTCATAATTTATTTAAATATTACAATTAAGCTATAACATGTATGTTTGAATAATCACTCAAATTATTAAATCGATAATTACTAATACTTGACAATTTTATTTACAAATAAATTGCACAAGTTTAACAGATTGTTAATTGAAAAAAAAAAACAAAAACAAAAACAAAAAAGGAAAATTTGAATGAATATGAAATCCAAAATATTACACGTAATTACAGTATCTTGCAAATTCGTGAAAAATAGTGAAAGAAATTTGACGATTATGTTACAATTGAGAATTAACTAGTTAAGTCAATAAATTAATTGCTTGTACTACTCAGAAATCTCCGAAAAATATCATTATCTCTTATCAATGTTTGTTACTCTCGTGATAAATAACGGATCTATATTGAACTAACCATAATATTTATCAGCTTTATATGATTTTTTGTAATTTTTATCACATTTTCGATCACATTTCGGTGTTGGATAAAGGTCATGTTTACATGGTTCATAGTGTGTTTTATTATTGTGATGTTCACAAGGTGGGAATGGATAAGGTCGACAACCGGCATGATTTGTATAGTTACTTCCCGTAACAATACCACTTGAAATCCAATATTTCCATGCTGCCATCGGTTCACCACCATAACATCTACAAAAATTAACATCATACCTTTATTGGTTAGACTATTTGATATCACAGGTAAACAAGCATTCATATTTATGAGAAAAGATTTTACAACGATATGACAAAAAAAAAAAAACAATTATAGAGAATTAATTTAATAACAAAATTTTGACATTTATTGAATGTTACAGAGAGGAAGAAAAGTAATTAGGAATGAATGATTAAAATTTAAATGTATATTTAAAAAAAAAAAGAAAAGTGTTGCGTTAATCGAATAATTGTCATTCGTTTGCTATAATTACCTATGATTTCAAATAATTGAAGATAAATTTTTCTAAACAAAAAAAAAAAACAGGAAAAAGTTAAATGAATATAAAATCTGTAATAAAATTTAAACAATTTACCCAAAACCACAAATTTTGCAACAGCTAATAAGATCATCTGCTGAAAGTGTCACTTGTAATTTTCCCTTTGACATAATGCAAATTCGATCTGACATCGCTTCTACAGCAGCTATTGCCCAGCATGATCCTAAATTTACTCATTCTTTTGAAATGCTAATTAATTGAAATGTTACAGTTTGCGCGGACTGATATTTAAAAAATTAGATAATTTTAATTATTTAATATGTTATTTATATTAATGAATGAAAGCCATTTTTGTTGCATACGCCAAAAGATTGCTTATTAATGTAATCTTTTTTTTTTTTTTTTAAATGACAGTTGAAAAATTTTTTACCGCAAGAAGATTGATCGCGGATATTTTTAAGCGATGCACATTCCGGCCAATTTTTACGAGCATCGAATGATTCCGGAATGTAGGAAACAGAATGCTGAATTGGTGGCAGATTATTTTGATCATTCATCGATTGTTTCATATTATTTACACCGAGTAAACCGTATTTTACATGATCGCTATATGAATTAAATTTATTTACTCCGGCCTGAAAATATAATTCATTGATGTAAATGATGATATGTGTCTTTATTATTAGATTATTTGACATCACATGTGAAAGATTGATATTTATGAGAAAAATTTCGAATAGCATATGATACGAATAAATTTTACCGAATTAATTTAATAGTAAAATTTTGATACTTATTGAATGTTACAGAGAGAAATGAAAGTAATTAACAATGAATGATTAAAATTTAAACATAAAAAAGGTGTCGCTTTAATTGAATAATTATTATCCTCTTGTCATAATTATCTACGATCTCACCACTCTTCTCTTTCTTTTCTTTTCATATTTTATTTGACATTAATTCACGTTAATATTTTACCTTCCATAATTTTTGATGTGAGTTAACGTAATCGATAAGTTCTTGACCGGATAAATTTTTTGCTTCCGGATCTATTTCGGTATTTGCATATTCATCAATAACAAATCTGCAAAATTTAACATTTATTCGTGCATCTTAAATCTATACGGAAAAACGCTATTTTATTTTGAAACTATAAAAAAAAAAAGATCATAATTTCTTATTTCATTTTGAATTTCTCCTATTTCGGCTATCGCTCGTGCTAATTTCACGTTTATCTGAAATTTTAATCATAAACGAAATAATTTGCTTACCTTTTTTTTTGTTTTGAAATTTTCCAAAGTGATTTGATCGGATTGTTCGGAACAATAACCTCGTCGGTTACTGTTACGGAATGGTGCAACAGAATTAGGAAAAGCCAAATTAGTGATAGCAAAGCTCGTTGATACATTTTCGTAATAATCAAATGGATTATCTGAAAAAAAAAAAACTTTTTTTTTGATTAAAATTATTTGATAAGGAAAAAAAATGACGATAAAAATGATGATGTTTTGAAGTGTCTGAATCGGAGATCGAAGAAGCACTGCAACAAACTGTTATCTTTCTTGCCAATCATTACATATTTCGGAATTAAAAAATATTGTCAGCAAAAAAAAAAGAAAGAAAATTAAAACTGTGATAAAATTGAACGAAAAAAAAAAATGAAAAAGAAAATCAAAAAAAAAACGTATGGTAAAAGTTGCATTTAGAATATTTGATTTGAGGAAAATTATTCCTTCAAAAGAGAGTGTTTGCAATTAAGAGCTTATTTTTCTTTTAAATTTGTAATTTTTTTTTTTTAAATTCAATGTTGATGACGTAAATGGTGGATATTGTATTCAAACAATTACAAATCCTAATAATTCGCAGTATTATTAATAGTCATCGCTTTCATCAAGTTGTACATAATTTTTTTGATTAAAATTTTTTGATTAAAAAAAAAAAAGAAGAAATTTGTAAGGGATGAGCTCAATTTGAAGAATGAAAGTTTGTATAAAATTGATAAATAAGAAAGAAACAGATGAAAAATTGCGACCAGTGAAGGCAACTATTTTTCGCAACTTTTAAGAGATCGTTCCTGGTAGAGGATATCGATCTTGCTCGATCGAATGAGACTGAATCCGTAATTCTTCTATCTTACTCGATCTTACTGGACAAAATAATCGACTGTGACTGAACAGTTTGCAGCCAATTTTAATCACTTTGCATGACAGTTGCTAGAGAGATATAATGCATGCAAAATAGAACAGGTAATTTATGAAAGTAAAAAGAAATAAGTTCAAACTACACTGGCTGTAATTTTTACCGTTCAGGTCAACAGAGGAAAGAGCGACCTACCTGAATCAATCTATGGAATTCATTTGATAGCAATTATAAAGCCTAGCAATTCAATCGATAAAACATATGCGGTTAAAGTGATAAATAATAAGTTTGAGTGTAAGTGTGCGTTAAATTTGCAATTCAAACTGAACAAAAATTAGTGTGAAAATGAAAATAAATTAATGAGCTATAACGAATGACCTTTTAACGATGAAATGAATTGAAGAGAGAGAGAGAGAGAGAGAGAGAGAGAGAGAGAGAGAGAGAGAGAGAGAGAGAGAGAGAGAGAGAGAATGAAAGGATTGGAGTAAAATTGGTACCCAGGAGAGGTTTAAAGCAGCAGCTGATAGAGATTTAAAAATCGATTGATAGCTTTATGAAAGAGTACGAGAATTTGTGACCGCTAACGCTAATTTTACTGCCTGTTTCAATGCAACAGCAATAGCAGCACTTTGAGTAGCACAGCATTTATTAGAGAATGTGAAATTTGAAAATAATTTAAAATTTGAAAAGTAGAATTTTGAGATGAAATTTATCCTAATTGATTTGATGATTCCTTTTTTGTTGATTAGATTTAATTTCAAAAAAAAAAATTATTACTTTTTAAAAGGAAAAGAAAAATTGAAAATGTTATGAATTCATTTTAAATATGCACTAATTGATCAATTTTTATTTTAATCTGTATTAACCATTGATTGTTGTAATTCTACCCTATTGTATAAATAATTCTTGGTGATAAGCGGTTGTTCAATGTATTAATTCAGCAGGTGTTGCTATTTGTTACCTTCTGGCTATTATCGATTTCTTCATCATTTACGAAAGATTTTAGCGTTTTTTTTTTTTTTTTT